ATAGAAACTGATAAGTTGCCCAAACTACTCACAGTAGGTGGATATGAATCAGAGATTGTAGAAGGTTCCAGATGAGTGCCTTCTGCATTTAGTTCACAAGAAGACTGCCAAGTCTCTCTTATACTCTTACCTTTACTCATGGAACTCTTTCCTGTGTGGACTACCACCATCAGGCAGACAGCTGGCAAAAACAGTCTTCACTTCTTTTATTGAGATTTTAGCAGATTCTTTTATACTAAACAGTGTCCTCTATGACATCCTGCTAATGACTCTACAGATATGTCAGTTAAACACATGAATTAATGCCCAACAAAGGGAGGGTAGAACCTGTAGAGACCATATCCAGAGATTAGGCAAGGGTCCCAGTTGGGGGATGGGGCCACCCACGAATCTCCAACCTGTCTAAAGGAAATACTGGGAAAAGTGTGGAGCAAAGACTGAAGGAAAGGCCACCGAGAGACTGCCCCATCTGGGGATCCATCCCATATACAGACACCAAACCCAGACACTATTGCAGATACCAAGAAGTGCTTGCTAAAAGGAGCCTGATGTAGCTGTCTCCTGAAAGACTCTTCCAGAACCTGACAAATACAGAAGCAGATGCTCACAGCCAACCATTGGACTGAGCATGGGGACCCCAATGGAAGAGTTAGGGAAAGGACTGAAGGAACTAAAGGGGTTTGTAACCCCATAAGAAGAACAACAATATCAACCAAATCTGATCCCCCGAGCTCCCAGTGACTAAACCACCAACCAAAGAGTACACATGGGGGACCCATAGCTCTAGCTGCATATGTAGCAGGGGATGGTTCTGTCAGACATCAATGGGAGGAGAGGCCCTTGGTCCTGTGAAGGCTGGATACCCCAGTGTAAGGGAATGCCAGGGCAGTGAGGTGGGAGTGGATGGGAGGGTGGGGGAGCATATTCATAGGAGGAGGGGGGGTATAGAATAAGGGTTTGCTGAGGGGAAAATGGAAAGAGCATAACATTTGACATGTAAATAAATAAAATATTCAATAAAAAAGAGTAAAAACAAAAAAAGAAGAAATAATTTTATATTTTGGTACATATAGAATGTTGCTTAAATCTTATATACAAAGTAAAGACTCAGAAGTCATTGTTAAAAGCAAAAACAGAACACTAGGTATAACTTTGTTATACTTTTTATCATGTTGCTTTTTGTTTGTTTTCTCATAAATTCATTAATACCATGGTGGGATGATTTATTTTTTTATAGCTTACATGACCATTTTCTGTACATATGCAGCACAATTGCTGAATTAAAACACATCAAATATGGTCAGACGTTAAGTCTTGCAATAATGTTCTGGGAAAAAAAACTATACAAAAGAAAAACTGAATTTTTATGAGACCATTACTCACACCGTATAAAAGGCAGGGAATTCCTAGCCTATAGCAACCGAAGAGGCAGTGCAATGAAGGAGGAGCTTTAGAAAACAGAACTCAGCAAGTGAGTGTGTGTGGTAGTGAAGGAGGAAGGATGAATGAAGGTGTTAACTTTCTAGATCTTCGCCACTTGGCAATTCTTTACAGTTAAAATGACTTTACTGACTCCATGGGATGATGAAAAGATTCCCATAAAGCTCAGTGAGAAAATGACCCAGTTTCCAGTATTTGGGAATAACAGTGATTAAAATGTGTAATGAGAGCTATGATATTCCTCTCCGCTGGGTATTCCACACCCAAGAGATGCTCATAAAAGCAATGATGTAGTTATTAAGTCTGCACTTTGGCTAATGTCACAGCCACCTCGATGCTTTATTATAAATACAGTCTGCCGTTGCTACATCGTTCGCTTTGTCATCTAATATAACAGCAAGCAGGGAAACTGTAACTGTTTATGAGTATGGGCCTGCCAGTAGCACACTGTCCTACCAGATATAGCTAAAGTTCTTTCTCTGTAAGTCTATATCACCAGCAGAATGTAATTTGTTAAATGTTGGGAAGACCATCTGCAAGCACAACATGGCATCAGTAATAGGTTTGGTGCTCTCCCATGGGATGGATCTAAACTTAGGTTGGTCACTGGATGGCCTTTCCCTCAACCTCTGTTCCATTTTTTTCCCTACTTTTCTTTTAGACAGAAACAGTTCTGGGTCAAAATTTTTGAAGGTGGGCTGATGACCCCATCCCTCCACTGGGGTCCATGACTATCTACTAGAGGAGATCTCTTCAGGTTCTTCTATTTCCCCACTGTTGGGCATTTTGGCTGAGTCCTGGGAGCCTCTCACAGCCCAGGTCTCTGGGACTTTCTAGAGGTTCCCCCCCAAAGCTCCATATCTCCATATATTCCCCTGGCCCTCTAACCTTCCCTCCTGCCTCCCCCTATAACTCGTCCTGCCCCCCTCTCCTCCTTCCCCTCCCCTCTCCCAGACAGGTCCCTCACTTTCTCTGCCTTCCATGATTATTTTTCTCTCCCTTCTAAGTGCGATTGAAGCATCCTCACTTGGGCCTTCCTTCTTGTTTAACTTCTTATGGTCTGTGAGGTGTATCATGGGTAATCTGTACTTTTTGGCTAATATCCACTTATCAGTAAGTACATGACATGCATGTCCTTTTGGGTCTGGATTAGAATAGGAGGCTAGCATGGGTGTCGTCTGAGAGGCTCCACCAGCCTGAGTAGACTGAGACAGATGCAGATACTTACGGCCAACCATTGGACTAAGGTCAGGGACCCCTATAAAAGAGTTAGGGGAGGGATGAAGGAGCTGAAGGGAATGACAACTCCATAGGAAGACCAACAGTGTCAACTAACCCAGACCCCTGTGAGCTCTCAGAGACTAAGCCATCAACCAAAAAAGCATGCATGGGCTGGTCTGTGGCTCCTGCACATGTGTAGCAGAGGACTGTCTTTGTCTGGCCTCAGTGGGAGAGGATGCACCTAATCCTGTAGAGACTTGATGCCCCAGGGAACAGGGATGCCAGGAGTGAAGACTGGTGGGTGGGGTCAGGGGGAACACCCTCTCAGATGCATATGGGAGGAAGGGTGGGTGAATAACTCTGGGAAGGGGGGACAGGGAGTGGGGCAACATTTGGAATATAAATAAATAAAATAACTTTTTAAATGCTGGGAAAACCATAAATAGGAATGGTAACTGGTTATTATTTCTTTTAATTATGGAATTCAGATGAAACTAGTGGTCAGTGTACCTAATTTATGTATAGAAAAAGCCTGAAGAACACTATATCACTTGGCCTCAGTTATATCAATGGTAATCTAGGCAATACTTCTTTCATAATAACAAACCCTATGCTTGCAACCAGCAACTCCCTAGTTTTATAGTGCAGTAGTGGTGTGCAAGTTGTTCTACTTACGATATGTTAATTACTTGATGAAGGAGGCTTTCACTAAAATCATGCCAAATCACATCCAGCAGTATTTCCACACATCTTCCCGGAAGGCATGTGCATGCACTGAGAGGATGTGTGACTGACAGCTCTTAGAATTTATTCATGCCCTGTGATTCACTAGCCTGAATTTTCACTAAACATAAAGTTATTACGAATTCACAGTTGTTTTAATTGCTTCATGTCAGCAGCAACTTTCATTTCATGAGACTGTCAGTGCCCATCAGATAAACTATATATAGTGTTTGGGGTTTTCAGAACAAATAGAGAATGATCAAATGACTGGGAAGGTGCAAATAATACATGTTGTCACTTTGAATAGTGTATACAAGCTAAGTAGTTCTCTCAAAAGCAATAATCCAGGCTGGGAAGATGGCTCTATGGATAGACGGACCACGTCATGAGCATAGAAACCTAAATTAAGATCTCTAGAAGACACAGAAAAGTAGCACATATCTAAAAGCCCAATGCTGGTGATTCAGAAACAGATTGCTCCTTGTAGATCATTGGCCAACCACCATAGGCAGTCTCAAAAACTCAGGTGCCGCTTGGTTGAGGAATATATCCATTATTCACCTTTGGCCTGCTTACATACATACATACTTACATATATACATACATACATACATACATACATACATACATACATACATACATAAGCACACATACACCACACACACACACACACACACACACACATCATTAACAACAAGTTTTCTTTTGGCAAGATTCAGAATTCAGAAAACATGCAGATGACAAAGCTACATAACCCATTTTATAGCACATAAATTGATTATTTCTAAATTTCACCTCAAAGATATTCAAAGGATCTCACTGTAAAGAACCCTTGACTCAAGGTTAAACCACAAGTTCTTTCAGGCAGTTCTCAGTACATCTTATCTCTTCTAAGCCTGGATTAAATACCAAATGCAATCTTTCCTTAAAAGTAAGAGACACAAGAGTTGATGTTTTCGGCTTCCCTCCTCAGCATTAAACCTAAATTCCTAAACTGCCAATAAAACCAGGGAGGTCTTAATCAGATCCGTGGTCTGCTGCTCCATTGATTGCCTTAATCAGCAGCCTCAGGGGTTCAACAAAGGCGAGGTCCTGGCCACCCTATCACATTACATCGTCTAGATGATGTGTTGTATCCAACATTTGAATATTGGAAGTTTCCATGAGTCAAGAACTTACATGCAAGACTTAAACTTTGAAATAGTTTTACTAGCATCTACTTTTTATTTTAAACTTGAGATAAGAAGTATTATCATGAAAAGACCAAACACTGGTAATATTTTTTAGCTCAATTGAAAACCGCAACCTTTTCTGTGAGTTTGATTAGATAAGGTGCCAAAGAAATACACAGTTTTGTATTTATTTGATGATTTGTTTATAAGGATCTGGGCTGTCTTATTTATTGCCTGGAGCAATAATTCAAAATGTTCTAAAGCTATTTAAGGAAAGCAAATTTGTGCAAGTGTCAAAGGGTGGAAAAATGCTATTCCTTTTACAAAGAACTCACAATGTATGTATTTTGGTTCATAAGCATTTTATTGAAGATTTTTAAACCTAGGTTCATCAAGAATATTATTTTCTATGTTGTTGTTGTATTTTCACCTGGCTTGGTTATTATAATAATAGAATTGTTAAGAAAACTTGTATGTCAGCCTTGTTCAGAAGCCATGCTAATCTACCGCATCATTCCAATTTTAGTATGTATGCTGCTTATGCAAGCACATAATTAAGTTATTTCACATGGAGACATGACAAGAGGGGGTGAGCAAGCTGGGGGATTGTTACACCATTTGCTTCTCATTGTGAAAAGGTATGAAACAACACAGAGGGAAAAGGATGGGTGGTTCAAGTCCAATGCGGTTTGTGTGTTTTCTATAGCATGGAAAGTACTTTTATTTCTTATTTTTCTGTTGGCAGATTCTGCTTTTCAATTCTCTCATGATTCATTGTTACACAGAGCCAATAATCTCTGTTTTGTTTCCACTTTGACAATATTTATTTGGTTCTTGCTCAAAAATAAAAATTTAAAATCCTAAGCAATAATCTCAACATTTCAGCACCCTCTCCTATTTTGTTTCACCCAAACCATATGACTATCTTTGGTATTTTGTTTCTAAAACTCTTTCTGGGGGCTAGGTGTTTGTTGGAAAGTAATTCGGGTGAGGATTCGTCCTATTTTGTAAATGAAATATTTTAAAATAAAAAACAATCAATTTAATTCTTTTTAGTATGAAAACTTGGAAAGACTCTGATAACAACAATCACAGAGCCTGTATGGCTCTGAGCTAAGTTCTCTGAAAATATGTTATGACTGTTAGCTTGGTGGGATTATAGAACTCCTAATAGTGGGAGCAGGGACTGTCTCTGACTATTTTGCCCACCCTTAGGACCCTTTTCATCCTACTGGGCATGTGCCTAGTCTTATTGTAAGTTGTTATGACATGTTTGTTTGATATGCCTAGGAAGCCTGCTGTTTTCTGAAGGGAAAAGTAGGAGGAGTAGATTGAAGAAGGAGGTGGGAGGAGAGACTGGGAGGAGTAGAGAGACAGAAAATTGCAGTCAGGATGAAATGTGTGATATAATTTACTTTGATATGGTTTACTGGTTTCTTCTCTCTCTCTCTCTCAGCTGGATATGTTCCAGAAACTATACAAGAGGCATGAACTTCTGCAGAAAACTTCCTGAGAACCAAAACACCCATGAATATAGACAAAAGAAGAGAAGCAGATGCCAAGGACCTCAGTATTTAACAAAGGAAAAATTAACGACTGCAAAATGGAAACACACTTGTCTAGAAAGGCTTCCAATAAACCTGACAATAAGTGACAGGCTAGTTCAGTAAGTACCTAAAGAGTTATAGAGACTATCATAAGGAGTCCTCTTGCTTCCCGTTGTGAGGTCTATTGTGTCATGATTCTTTCTCATGGCTTCCAATGGCCAGGACCTGTTTGAGATCAGTTGCAACTTCTTATGACCAATAATATTAAGGCCTCAGTCCTTTTTGCGGCTTGACAATGTTCCATTGTAGACAAAAGTATTTACTCATTTATCAACTTATAGAAACTTACTTTTCCCATATTTCCCTATTGTGAATAATAATGCTATATTCATGAAAATATTTTTAGACATATGTTTTCATGTAAAAGCTGAATTACTGGGTCATATGACTTACTTTTGTGTTTAACCTTTTAAGGAATCGACAGATTATTTTTCAATATCTGTACCACTATGTTTTCCCATCCTAGTGTATGAGTGTTCAAAGGTCTCCACATCCTCAACAACACCTGTCATTATCTGAATCTTTTACTATCTCCATCCTAGTGGGTACAAGGTCATGTCATGTGAAAATGTGATTTGCAGTTGTCTAGTGGCTAATGTCATCCAGCATCCTTCATGTGTTTGTTGGCCACTTGAGCATCATCTCTAGGGAAATAACTATTCGATCACGAAGTCCATGTTGAAATCAGACTGTTTTTCATTGTGGAGGTGGAAGGTTTCCTCATTCATTCTGTGTAAAGTCAGTCATGAGCTGGACAATTTGCATTTTTTCCATCTTATGGATTGTCCTGAGCATGTCATTGAAAACCAAAGGTTTTAATTTTGACAATGTCTAATATATTTTTTTATGTGTACTTTTTAACCATAATGAAGTTTTTGCCTAAAAATCACAAAGATTCTTTGGTACCTTTTTGCAAGAGTTGTATGATTTTAGATCTTACATTTAGGTTTATGACCTATTTGGTGTTTTTTGCATTATCAAAAGAAAGAGTTAAGCTTCATTCTTTTGCATAGGATATTCAGTTGTATGGAAACCATTTCTTGGATTTAATGTTGTTTTATACCCGTGGAAAGAGTGTCCTGGTATTCATAAATTATTCACTCTGTGTGTGTGTGTGTGTGTGTTTCTGTGTGTTATGAGGATTCATTGATGTCTTATTATATTTATAATTTTAACTATTCAATTTTCTTTAATATTTCTTAATGAATATTTAAGTTTAAAAAGAATTAAAAACATAATTTATAATTTTAAAAATTAACTTGTGGGGAGAAAATAAAGAATATTATATTTAAAATTCTTTAAAATGAGGTTCTAGAATTCTGCAATATTTAATATCCTGAAATGAGTAAAAAGTTAGAAATGAAGACACCACGTTGAAATGTTAGGTAGTCACACACGGGATGAGTTTACTGGGGAGTGAGTTTCTTATTTTTAAATTGAGATGACAATCTTGCCTGATGCCCTAGGTTACTATAAAGATTAAGCAAAAAATATTTTTACAAAATTTTTATATTAAAAAACACAAAAACTTAATTCATATCCTTATATCAAAATTGAAGATATAAACTTAGTTTATAAAAAAAAAATTACCCATATGCTGACGCATGTGCTGGAGCTGAGATGGAGAACAAGAAACAAGGAGCAAGCGCTGGCCTTAAACAGCTTCCTGTCAGAAAGGACTCCAGCTTTGTCCCCAGTACAAATTTGTAATTTGTGCCCTTTGAGTTTTCAACTTCAGCTGTGTGATCATGGCTCCAGAGTCTGTGGCACGGGCAGATTGTGAGGAGATAATGAGACAATGAACCAAAGGGTGAAAATGAAAAAGTATAACAAAAAGACAAAGTAGCCCTCGTCTTTGACATCAGATACACGAGCACTAGCTACTGAGAGAACAGTCGCTGTGAAATTCATTGCGTATTGGATAGTTTCCAAGGTTTATGGAAACGTCTTACATTTTACCACTAATAATTTCTTTCTTGTATAAAATCTCTCATCTGCCTTTTTTTTTAAATGTTGGAGTTTCCTTGCCCAAAGAGTTTCCTCTCTTGACTTATGAATAAATACATTGTATTTTAAAGGTGAACATTGTACATGACTTTAAAAAGATTTAAAAAAAAAAGACTTTCTAAATTGCTGAGAAGCTGCCATAATTTATGTCATAGTGGACTCACTGAATTCATATCCATAGGTTAATAAACAGTGTTGCATTTGGAGAGAGAAATTGGAAAAAAAAAAAAAACAGGGAGGAAGCCTGACAAATCCTATATTTATCTCTCAAGATAGACTGATGTTTTTGGACATCATAGCTCTTAAAAATAACCTGGTGATAAGTGGTTTAAAAACAACAAAACAGTATTTTTATAAACACAAATAGAAAACAATATCCTGTGAGATGAACTTAATTACATATATTTTTAAATATCAACATAAATAGCAGTATACAGAGAGAGAAATCAAAACTGTTGATTGTGTCAAGGAATTGTAAGTTCTTCATAAGCTTAGCACTCAAATGAGATTACTGTGTTGGCTGCCTCTGTCCACAAATGACAGAAAGAAATGTAAGAAAACAACACAGGCAATCTAAAATTCATCACAGATTAGAAGGTGACTAGCTGGAGGCCTGGGGTGGAAGAGGATATGGGCAGTCTACAGAGGTGACACTAGCTGAGATTCCTACCAGAGTGAGATTCAGGGACTGAAATGGCCACCTCCTATAGCCAGACAGGACTTCCAGAGGAGGGAGGGGGACACCAATATGCCCACAAAACCTTCAACCCAAAATTTTTCTTGCCTACCAGAAGTACAGGGATTAAGATAGAGCAGAAACTGATGGAACAGCCAACGAATGACTGCCCCAACTTCAGACCCATCCCATGGGAAAGAGCCAACTTCTGCCACTATCAATGATACTCTGCTATGCTCACAGACAGAAACCTAGCGTAACTGTCTCCTAAGAGGCTTCATCCAGAAGCAGATGGAAGCAGATGCAGAGATCCACAGCCAAACATCAGGAGAAGCCTGGGGAGTCTCAGAAAAAAGTGGGGAATAGAAATGAGCAAGTCCAGGGTGGTCAAGGATACCTCAAGAAAACCCACAAATAATCTGGGACCATAAGGATTTGGGGATCCTGGGCTAGCAACCAGAAAGCATGCAGGAACTGGACCTCGGTTCCCTAACATTTGTAGCAAATGCACAGCTTGGTCTTAATATGGATCTCTTACAAGTGGAACAGTGGCTGTTTTGGTATCTGTTCCTTCCCATTGGATCCCCTTCCTGGAACCTGGACTTCCTGGTTGGACCTCAGTGGGATGTTCCTACTCCTGCTGGGACTAGATGCTCTAGGGTGGGGTGGTACCCAAGGAGGGCTCCCCTTCTCTAAGGAAAAGGAGAGAAGGCAATGGGAGGAGGAATTTGTAGGGCAGGGATGAGAAGAAAAGGGGATACGATCTGGATGTAAAGTGAATTTTAAAAAAATAAAATGAAAATTTTAAAATTGAAAGTTGAACATTATAGGAAGACATGAAACACTTGAGGTCATGATGGTCAGTGGGGTCACCATAGCCAGAGGTGAGTCTTGAGCCATAACATGATAGTTCAGTCACCATCACCCAGTGCCTTATAATATAGCCCAATTCTGGGTCCCTATGACAAGCACAGCCCTGGACAAGGCCATGTCCACAGGCCTCATAGAACTCCTATAGGACTGAAAGGCCTGAGGTGAGCAGTTATGGTTCCCAGCATAAAGGAATATTGAGTGGCATGGCAAGCTATATAAGTTCTTCTTCAAGGGCTATTGGGAGCCGACTCCTAGCAGAAAGCAGCTATCATCTTTACAGCCATCTCGAGCCATATACCCTGACAAGAGACTTGTTTTCAACAGCCCGCAACAGCTGAGCACACTCTGATAAACATCTTGTTTTTCTCACATATCTTGTTTTGTTGA